CACCTTTCCCTCAGGATTCATCCATGCCTCAGGACACCTGGCACACAGGGCACCATCTCCCCAGGATTCATCCATGCCTCAGGACACCTGCCAACAGGACACCTTTCCCTCAGGATTCATCCACTGCCTCAGGACACCTGGCACACAGGGCACCATCTCCCCAGGATTCATCCATGCCTCAGGACACCTGCCAACAGGACACCTTTCCCTCAGGATTCATCCACTGCCTCAGGACACCTGGCACACAGGGCACCATCTCCCCAGGATTCATCCACTGCCTCAGGACACCTGCCAACAGGACACCATCTCCCCAGGATTCATCCATGCCTCAGGACACCTGGCACACAGGACACCTTTCCCTCAGGATTCATCCATGCCTCAGGACACCTGGCACACAGGGCACCATCTCCCCAGGATTCATCCACTGCCTCAGGACACCTGGCACACAGGACACCTTTCCCTCAGGATTCATCCATGCCTCAGGACACGTGCCACACAGGACACCTGCCAACAGGACACCTTTCCCTCAGGATTCATCCATGCCTCAGGACACCTGGCACACAGGGCACCATCTCCCCAGGATTCATCCACTGCCTCAGGACACCTGGCACACAGGACACCTTTCCCTCAGGATTCATCCATGCCTCAGGACACGTGCCACACAGGACACCTGCCAACAGGACACCATCTCCCCAGGATTAATTTAATTTCCTCAGGGTTCATTTTCTGACACCCTTGCTCCTCCACCACTGTGGAGAATCCCAGTCCAACAACTACAGAAACCAAAGGGCAAACACATTTAACAGTGTATATAATGCATATAATAATACAGAATAATATATATGTGATATATTATATATATTATATATAATACATACATTAATGTATTTTAGTATAAAAATACATTTAATCGTATATAATACATATATAATATAATATATACATATATATAATACATATATAATATATAATATATATTACATAAAACATATATTATATATAATAATACATATTTTTTATATATTTTATCTATGTAATACATATAATAATGTATTTTTAGTATAAAAATACATTTAGTAGTATATAAGACATATACTGTAATATATAATAATATATATGATATATAATATATTGCATATACAATATCATATACAATAATATATAATAATATATATTATTGTAATATATTATCTGTTATACAATACATAAAATAATGTATTTTATAAAAATTATTATGATATGATATGATATAATATAATATAATATATATAAAATATATATGGTTCTATATATTGTATCTATATTAATACATATAATAACAGGTTTTTTATTCCAGAAATACATTTAATAGCATATAACAGCAGGTCTCACAGCCCTGGGCAGCAAGGCATTCCTGCAAGCCCTGAGAGAGGAGCTGGGCAGTGTCTGCCAGGCAGGCACAGGCAGTGCCACAGCTGGCTGTGCCTCAGCAGGCAGGCAGGGCTGCTCACTGTTCCAGAGGAATCATTTTAGGGGTTCCCCATGGAACTGACAGGAATTGGGCAGCCTCTGGGGAGGCAGGGACACCTACTGTTTAGCCTGGTTCACGTGGACGCCCAGGGTGTAGCTCAGCCACTTGTAGGTCACCTGGAAAAGGGGAAAACCCCCCAAAAAAACAACATTTAAATAAGGAAACCTTGGCCTCTCAGTTCGACACACCTCCCCTCTTTGGCTTGCCGGTCCATGGAGCTCCTCAGACACCCCCCTCCCTTCCCAGAAAGCCACAGAGGATGAAAAAGAGACTTCTTTTCAGTGCCTCAGGGAGCACTGTGGATTCCTGGGAGCTGTCCCAGCAGGTGTGGGGGAATGGCTGCCCCTCCCCTGGCTGGCACACCGTGCCCAACCTCTGGATGCCAGGGCTGGAATCCCTGCCCTGCCGTTCTGAGCAGGTACATCCCTGACCCTGCTCCTGCACACACAACAATTAAAGTCTTGTTTGTCTGCTTGGTTCTCAGAAAAAGCCACAAAGCCACAGGCTTTGCTCACCCCCTCAGACAAGTCGCACCAACTGTGCCGCACCATTTTCTAGGCAAAACCCATTTCATTTCGTTTCATTTCATTTCATTTCATTTAGTTTCATTTCATTTCATTTCATTTCATTTAGTTTCATTTCATTTCGTTTCATTTCATTTCATTTCATTTCATTTCATTTCGTTTCATTTCGTTTCGTTTCATTTTCTTTCAAAAAAAATTTTTTTTTGCAATAAACTTGGAAAGGAACAGAAAAACATCAGCTTTCTGAACTGCCTTCAAGACAGTTAAGAGAGGAGGGAAAACGGGGGGAGAGGAGGAAGAGAGGGGAGAAGGGAGAGGGAAGCAGGGAGGAAAAGGAGGAGGAAAAGGGGGAGAAAGTAGAGAAGGGAGAATGTAAAGGGGGGAGAAGGAGGAGGAAAGGGGAGATGAAGGAGGGGAGAAAGGGGAAGGAGAGAAGGAATGGAGAAGGAGAGAAGGAATGGGGAAGGAGAGAAGGAAAGGATAAGGAGAGAAGGAAAGGGGAAGGAGGAGGAAAGGAGAAGGAGAGAAGGAAAGGGGAAGGAGAGAAGGGGAAGGAGAGAAGGAATGGAGAAGGAGAGAAGGAATGGGGAAGGAGAGAAGGGAAAGGAGAGAAGGAATGGAGGAGAGAAGGAAGGGGGAAGGAGGAGGAAAGGGGAAGGAGAGAAGGAAGGGGGAGGAGGAGGAAAGGAAAGGGGCAGCGGAAGGGAGAGGAAGGGGAGGCGGGAGGAGGCAGCGGGGCAGGGGAGGCCGCGGGGGCAGCAGGCCGCGGGGGCAGCAGCAGGCAGGCGGAGCGGGAGCAGGCGGAGGGCGGGCAGCGGCGGCACTCACGACGCGGTTGTGGTCGGTGACGAACTCGTCGATGTTCTCCAGGTACAGCTCGTCCGCCGCCATGGCCGCGCCGGGCCCGCGCTTCCCGCCCCGCGCCTCAGCGCCGCGCGCGCGCAATTAAATAGAATATTAAAATAAAATTTAAAAAATTAAAATAAAGTAAAATAAAATAAAGTAAAATTTAAAAAAAAAAATAAAATAGCTTCTTAGTGGATTGGGGAAAGCCAAGCTGCGGCAGGCAGGAGCAGCAGCTCCGAAGCATCCCCGCTCCAGCCCTGCGAGGGGCTCCGCAGCTCCAGCGCCCGCGGGTGCCCGGCCCCGTCCCGCACGGCCGCGCATCCCCGGCACCGGGGATCCAATCTCCCGTTCTCCAGAGCTGCCGTGCAGTTCCCTGCCCGGGACGGCAAGTGCCAGCGGGACACCGCAGCTCGAGGGACACGGCCGGGGACAGCCGGGCTGGTGCGCCCGGGTCATGGCCGCAGGAACCCCAGAATAACCGGGGAGGAACCCCAGAGCCCCCCAGGAACCCCAGAGCCCTCCAGGAACCCCAAAGCCCTCCAGGAACCCCAGAGCCCCCCAGGAACCCCAGAGCCCCCCAGGAACCCCAAAGCCCCCCAGGAACCCCAAAGCCCTCCAGGAACTCCAAACCCCTCCAGGAACCCCAAAGCCCCCCAGGAACCCCAGAGCCCCCCAGGATCATCACCCAGTGGAATCCTCTCCCTGCGCTGCCAGGGCCCCACGCACCCACGTCCCCAAGTGCCACATCGCCCGGCTTTCCATGCCTCCAGGGAGCGCGGCTGGCCCGGACAGCCCTCGCCGGGAAGGAATTTTCCCGACATTTTCCCTGAAGCTCCTGCTGCCCTGCCCCTCCATCCCCGCTCGGCCCGCACCAGCGCGTCCCACAGGAGCTGCCAGAAGGAGCCGAGCGGGGCTGGAGCTGCAAGGGGATGCGGCTCCTGACTCGGGCACAGCAGCTTTTCCCCAGGGCACGGAGCTGGAGCCGTTTGGTAAGAGTTAAAATAACCTCGGGTGGCCCTGCTGCTCACAATGGCACTCGCTGCCCAGCTGGCAGCAGGTTTGTTTTGCTGGTAACAGAACCATCCGCATCCTCTTCCTCCTGCGTGCCAGGCGCCTTTTCCCACACTCCTGCTGTCTCTTTTCCTTCTCACCGCAGTCATTCTTGTGCTGTGCCATTCCTGGCTTGACATTTCTGCCTGCTTTGCGGAAGGAGTGTGCAGCTCTTAAACACGTTACTCATCCTCTCATTGTCCTAAGTCTCTTTTTCATCTTTTGTTTTTTCTTCCTTAAGCTTCCTGCTTTGAGCTTTCTGAATGATTCCATGACCTGGGCTAAGGTGCCTGATGACTGTAAAATTACACTTTTCACCCTCAGGGCACAGCGTGTGCTGGTCCTGCAGGTTGGCTTAAGGGTGCACGAGTGTAAGAGGCCAAAATTCTCTAGCTGAGGATTTCTTTTCTCTGTATTTCTTTCCTCTGTGTTTCTTTCCTCTGTATTTCTTTCCTCTCTGTGCTGTGGGATCTGCATCTGGTCTCACACCTGCTTTATACTCTATAATATATTTTATACTCTGTGTATAAATAAAAAATACCAGCTATGTGTAAGTTTATAAGTATAAATATATTTATATGCATAATTTATGTAGATATAATTTTATGCATAAATTTATGTGTAAATTTATATGTATAAATAAGAAATATCAGCTGTGTGGGCACAAATTGAAACGAGAGGTTCGGACTGGACGTAAGGAGAAGTTATTGAAACCACAGAAGGGTTTGGGTGGGAAGGGGATATAAATATAAATATAAATATAAATATAAATATAAATATAAATATATAAAATTAAATAGAATATTAAAATAAAATTTAAAAAATTAAAATAAAGTAAAATAAAATAAAGTAAAATTTAAAAAAAAAAATAAAATAGCTTCTTAGTGGATTGGGGAAAGCCAAGCTGCGGCAGGCAGGAGCAGCAGCTCCGAAGCATCCCCGCTCCAGCCCTGCGAGGGGCTCCGCAGCTCCAGCGCCCGCGGGTGCCCGGCCCCGTCCCGCACGGCCGCGCATCCCCGGCACCGGGGATCCAATCTCCCGTTCTCCAGAGCTGCCGTGCAGTTCCCTGCCCGGGACGGCAAGTGCCAGCGGGACACCGCAGCTCGAGGGACACGGCCGGGGACAGCCGGGCTGGTGCGCCCGGGTCATGGCCGCAGGAACCCCAGAATAACCGGGGAGGAACCCCAGAGCCCCCCAGGAACCCCAGAGCCCTCCAGGAACCCCAGAGCCCCCCAGGAACCCCAGAGCCCCCCAGGAACCCCAAAGCCCCCCAGGAACCCCAAAGCCCTCCAGGAACTCCAAACCCCTCCAGGAACCCCAAAGCCCCCCAGGAACCCCAGAGCCCCCCAGGATCATCACCCAGTGGAATCCTCTCCCTGCGCTGCCAGGGCCCCACGCACCCACGTCCCCAAGTGCCACATCGCCCGGCTTTCCCTGCCTCCAGGGAGCGCGGCTGGCCCGGACAGCCCTCGCCGGGAAGGAATTTTCCCGACATTTTCCCTGAAGCTCCTGCTGCCCTGCCCCTCCATCCCCGCTCGGCCCGCACCAGCGCGTCCCACAGGAGCTGCCAGAAGGAGCCGAGCGGGGCTGGAGCTGCAAGGGGATGCGGCTCCTGACTCGGGCACAGCAGCTTTTCCCCAGGGCACGGAGCTGGAGCCGTTTGGTAAGAGTTAAAATAACCTCGGGTGACCCTGCTGCTCACAATGGCACTCGCTGCCCAGCTGGCAGCAGGTTTGTTTTGCTGGTAACAGAACCATCCGCATCCTCTTCCTCCTGCGTGCCAGGCGCCTTTTCCCACACTCCTGCTGTCTCTTTTCCTTCTCACCGCAGTCATTCTTGTGCTGTGCCATTCCTGGCTTGACATTTCTGCCTGCTTTGCGGAAGGAGTGTGCAGCTCTTAAACACGTTACTCATCCTCTCATTGTCCTAAGTCTCTTTTTCATCTTTTGTTTTTTCTTCCTTAAGCTTCCTGCTTTGAGCTTTCTGAATGATTCCATGACCTGGGCTAAGGTGCCTGATGGCTGTAAAATTACACTTTTCACCCTCAGGGCACAGCGTGTGCTGGTCCTGCAGGTTGGCTTAAGGGTGCACGAGTGTAAGAGGCCAGAATTCTCCAGCTGAGGATTTATTTTCTCTGTATTTCTTTCCTCTGTATTTCTTTCCTCTTTATGCTGTGGGATCTGCATCTGGTCTCATGCTGTCTCTTTTCCTTCTCACCGCAGTCATTCTTGTGCTGTGCCATTCCTGGCTTGACATTTCTGCCTGCTTTGCGGAAGGAGTGTGCAGCTCTTAAACACGTTACTCATCCTCTCATTGTCCTAAGTCTCTTTTTCATCTTTTGTTTTTTCTTCCTTAAGCTTCCTGCTTTGAGCTTTCTGAATGATTCCATGACCTGGGCTAAGGTGCCTGATGGCTGTAAAATTACACTTTTCACCCTCAGGGCACAGCGTGTGCTGGTCCTGCAGGTTGGCTTAAGGGTGCACGAGTGTAAGAGGCCAAAATTCTCTAGCTGAGGATTTCTTTTCTCTGTATTTCTTTCCTCTGTGTTTCTTTCCTCTGTATTTCTTTCCTCTCTGTGCTGTGGGATCTGCATCTGGTCTCACACCTGCTTTATACTCTATAATATATTTTATACTCTCTGTATAAATAAAAAATACCAGCTATGTGTCAGTTTATATGTATAAATATATTTATATGTATAATTTATGTAGATATAATTTTATGCATAAATTTATGTGTAAATTTATATGTATAAATAAGAAATATCAGCTGTGTGGGCACAAATTGAAACGAGAGGTTCGGACTGGACGTAAGGAGAAGTTATTGAAACCACAGAAGGGTTTGGGTGGGAAGGGGCCCTACAGACCATCCTGTTCCACTCCCCTGCCGTGGGCAGGGACACTTCCACTCGAGCAGGCTGCTCCTGGTGTCCTCGGTGGAGCACTTTGACATCTCTAAATGCGGGCTTGCCCCGTTCTCTGTCCTCCCCGTGGTGCCAGCTCTGGAGCGCCGGCTGCTCGGAGCTGTGGGAGCAGAGTCAGCAAAGCAGGGCCCTTGAGGAGAGCCAGGCTCCTGAAGGGCACAGCGGCGGGCAGGCTGGCTGCTGGCTGTGGGAAGGCTGCCCTGCCCTCCCCGGGCACCTGTGAGCCCGGCACAGCCTGGGCTCTGTACCTGCTCTGTACCGGGGCATCCCCTGGGGTCCCTTTGTGTCCTGAGCTGTCCCGGGAGCCTTCTCCTCCGCAGGTGAGCACGCCCAGCTCTCCCAGCCTGGCTGCAGCCCCGCAGCAGCTCCGTGTCCCTCCATGCTGTGTCCCCGGGCTGGGGTGGCTCTGCAGGTGCGGTCACACCTGGGCACGTCTCCGGAGCTCCCGGAGAGCTGCCGTCCCTCCCCTGGCGGAGCCCTTCGGGCGCTGTGTCAGCGGCAGAGCTGGTGGGTGCTGACCCAGCAGAGGGGTCTGGGTGCCCTCGAGCCCTGCTGGCTGTCCTGCTGGCAGCGTGACCCCCGGGACAAGCTGCAGGGGAAGCACCTTCAGCAGGGCGCCTGAAGGACAAGCAGCACATCTGAGCTCTCGGAGTCCCTGTGCTGGAGATGACCCCGAGGTGTTAGGAAGGCTCCCTTTTCCCAGCCCAGCGACCGAAGAAGGAGTGGGGATTCCTCGGCTCTGGTTCTCAAGGCTGTTTATTTTCTCTTATCTAGCACATTCTTTCTCCAAGCCGCTGAGGTCTGTCTGGCAGGTCGGTTCGTGGCACCCTTGGGGCAGTGTTATCTTTTTATACCAAAAACTACGTGTACTTTATTTACAATTATTTTCCAATACCTATCACCTATGTTAGACATTCTGTCGCTGCTCTAAACCAATCCAAAAGTGCCAGCATCTCACAGAAGATGGAGGCTAAGAAGGAGAAGGAGGAAGGACAAGGCACGCCCAAATCCCTCCATCTTGCCTCCTGAACCCCCATTCTAAAAACCCCAAAATTCTACTTTTTCACCCTGTGACAAACTAACTAACATTCTACTGGCTTGTAAGTCTTCACATAAAGCTGGCAATTTTCTCCGTGGGTTAAAATCGAAGGCACGGGTGTCTTTGACTCCGTGCCAAGGTCTCTGAGCCCTCTGCCAGGGCCTCGAGCCATCCAGGGCAGCCAGAGGAACGCCCTGGGTTCTGACACTGAGCTTCCCAGGTGGGAATGTCAGCTCCTGGTGGCACGGGGAGCTCGGAGCGTGGAGCCGGCCGTGTCTGCTCCAGGATGGGCCAAAAACCAGCGACTGCCCAGAGAGGGGCAGCCAGCCCAGAAACAGGGCAGAGCCGTGTGCCTAGGCCAGCCAGGATCTTCCTTAGGTGCTTCCTTGGTGCCCCCGGGGGGCACAGCCCCACACGCGACTCCCTGATTTCCTTCCCCTTTGGCACAGCCTTGGGAAGGTGTGCTGGAGTCAGTGAGCCCAGCAGGGTGGGACAGAGCAGCCCTGCCTGTGGGACACAGCCCCGAGGTGCTGCCCTGGTGAGCTGCAGAGCCATTCAGCCGTTCTGGAATAAAAGGTTTGTCCTTCCCAGGAAGGGGCTGGTGCCTGCAGGGCCTGGGTGGTGCTGGTGCTCTGTGGAGGGAGGTTGGTTGATGCTTCCAAGGTATCACATGGCAAGCTGGTGCCATCAGTAAAATCAAAATAAAGCCACAGCTTCAGGCTTCCCAGCAACACCACCTCCTGCACGGAGCCAGCCTTGGAGACCCGGCTGGAAACCAGAGGGATGAGCAGCCAGGATCAGAGGAGGTGATCCCTGCACTCCTCCCCGCCCTGTGGGAGAAGGGAGCCAGCCGTGACTCCAGGAGCAGGGTCAGGGATGCTCCTGGCCACACACTGACCTCCTGCACGTTCCAAACGATTCATGCCATTGGTACACGCAAATGGCCCTCGAGTACAAATTCCACGGGGGAAAAATAAAAAAAGGGATTTGCTGAAAGGCTTGTGGCAGAGTGGGGAGGGGGCTGCTGTGCCTGGGGGTGCCAGGGGCAGCCTGAGCCGGGCACTGCACTCTCAGCTCTGCCCCTGATGCCAGCACAGCTCTGCCACCTCTCTGTGACACCCCAGCCTTGCCAAACTCAACAGGGATTTCATCCCAGCCTTCACTGGAGCCAAGATGATGCCCTTTGCTTTGTCTGTAGCTCTCTGTGAGCTGTGACAGCCCCTCTTGCCAGGTACCTGTTTCACAGCCACCACCCCTGCCCTCCCCTCCTCTTCCAGCTGTTAAGCCCCGACTTGCATTGGCCCTAAAGGGAGGCTCTCCTGCCAGAAAAAATTGGGTTCAGCCCCACAAGGAATTGTGAGGACTTCAGAGACTCTGCTAGTGTTTAAGGCACCCAGAGGAGAAGGTACAATGGGATTGCAAATCATGGGCACAACAAAACACCCCAGCCCTGACATGCGTGGCCCCTTCCATGCCATTTCCCCCGGCTGAAAGGCAGGATGTGGGGAGTAAACAGGGCAGGCCAGGATGGGCACAGTAAATGGGGCAGCCCAGGATGTGGGGAGTAAACAGGGCAGGCCAGGATGTGGGGAGCAAACAGGGCAGTCCAGGATGTTGGGAGTAAACAGGGCAGGCCAGGATGGGCACAGTGAACAGGGCATTCCAGGATGGACACAGTGAACAGGGCAGTCCAGGATGGGCACAGTGAGCAGGGCAGTCCAGGATATAGGGAGTAAACAGGGCAGGCCAGGATGTGGGGAGTAAACAGGGCAGTCCAGGATGTGACAGTGAGCAGGGCAGTCCAGGATGTGGCAGTGAACAGGGCATTCCAGGATGGGCACAATGAACAGGGCAGCCCAGGATGTGGCAGTGAACAGGACAGCCCAGGATGTGGCAGTGAGCAGGGCAGCCCAGGATGGGCACAGTGAGCAGGGCAGCCCAGGATGTGGCAGTGAGCAGGGCAGCCCAGGATGGGCACAGTGAGCAGGGCAGCCCAGGATGTGGCAGTGAGCAGGGCAGCCCAGGATGGGCACAGTGAGCAGGGCAGCCCAGGATGTGGCAGTGAGCAGGGCATTCCAGGATGTGGCAGTGAGCAGGGCAGCCCAGGATGGGCACAGTGAGCAGGGCAGCCCAGGATGTGACAGTGAACAGGGCAGCCCAGGATGGGCACAGTGAGCAGGGCAGCCCAGGATGGGGCAGTGACCAGGACAGCCCAGGATGTGGCAGTGAGCAGGGCAGCCCAGGATGTGACAGTGAATGGGGCATTTCAGGATGGGCACAGTGAGCAGGGCAGCCCAGGATGGGCACAGTGAGCAGGGCAGCCCAGGATGTGACAGTGAATGGGGCATTTCAGGATGGGCACAGTGAGCAGGGCAGCCCAGGATGGGGCAGTGACCAGGCTGCCCTGCTGCTGATGAGGTGCCAGCGCTGTGACACAGGCTCCCTGTCCTGCAGCAGCCAGGCAGGAAGAGCCTGGGCTTTGATCTGCAGGCAGCCTCTGGGGGCTCAGCCATAAAAACAAGGAAATAACTCACTGCACACACGCTGCTGGTGCAAAATACCAGTCTGTCCTGCCAAGGCGGAGACCCGGAGCTGCTCTCCTGGAGCTGCCTGAGGCGATGATCCCACCCCAGGTGCTGCCCAGTTCCTGGTGGTTTTTTCCCCCATTTTTTCTCCTCTTCATTGAGAAAATGGCCTGCCAAAGGGAAGCACCTTTCCTCCCTTGCAGTAACACAGAAGCTGACCTTGTCAGCTGAGTTACCTGTGGCGACAAAGGGCAAATGACCAGCGAGGTGTGTTTCTGATAAAAGCAGGAGCTCAGTAACACAGAGACTGCTCTGTAAAATCAGGACATACTTTCACACGGTCGATAAGCTGGAAGGGCTGCAGGCTGGAACAGTTTGCTCAGGTTTTAATGGTTGACTCATTAGCGGTTCAACCAGATTTGTCTATTTTCTACATTTGGAATAAGAAGATGAGGTGGGAACATTTCCTCTTTCACAGTCCCAGGGGGATGAACTGCAGCTCTCACCAGCACCTCGGTAACACAATAACTTTATTTACAGTGCACAGCCTTGAGGTGCCAGCACAGAATCACACAAAGTGAGGTGGTTGGAAGGGAACTTAAAGCTCATCCAGTTCCACCCCCTGCCATGGCAGGGACACATTCCAGTAGACCAGGTTGCTCAAGGCCTTATCCAACCTGCCCTGGAACACTTGCAGGGTCGGATAATCCACAGCTATCCTAATCGTACCCAGAATCCTGATTTTAGCCTGCTTTGAGCAGGCCTGTGATTGCCCAGCTGCGCTGGGATGTCATGTGCACATTCCCTGGCTGTCCCCTCCTCACCCTGCTCCCCAGCCTGGTGCCCCATGTCCCACACCTGTGGCAGAGGGGCCCTGTGTCTCCTCGCTGCATCCCTCCCGCAGCCCTCTCAGCCACCCACAGCCCGTGCCCTCCTCCCTCCGTGCCTTGTCCCCTGTCCCTGGGCACCAGCTCCCATCTCCAACCCCCTACCCCATCCCTGGCACCCTCCTTTGGGCTACATCCTGTGTCCCAGACCCTGCTCCCCGCTCTCCAACCCCACACCACCTTTCTCTGTGCTGCTGTTCCCTCTGCCCTGTGTCCCACGTCCCCATTCACCATGTCTGTGCCCTGTCCCCATCCTGTGCCCCTGCAGCCGCTCTCCATCCTCCCCCCGTGCCCTCCCCACGTCCCCCATCCATTTCGCCCTCCTCTGCCCGGTTCTCCCCTGCTGTCTCCATCCCCTCTGCCCGGTTCTCCCCTGCTGTCTCCATCCCCTCTGCCCGGTTCTCCCCTGCTGTCTCCATCCCCTCTGCCCGGTTCTCCCCTGCTGTCTCCATCCCCTCTGCCCGGTTCTCCCCTGCTGTCTCCATCCCCTCTGCCCGGTTCTCCCCTGCTGTCTCCATCCCCTCTGCCCGGTTCTCCCCTGCTGTCTCCATCCCCTCTGCCCGGTTCTCCCCTGCTGTCTCCATCCCCTCTGCCCGGTTCTCCCCTGCTGTCTCCATCCCCTCTGCCCGGTTCTCCCCTGCTGTCTCCATCCCCTCTGCCCGGTTCTCCCCTGCTGTCTCCATCCCCTCTGCTCGGTTCTCCCCTCGCTGTCTCCATCCCCTGCCGCTCGCCTTGTCCCCTGTCCCTGGGCACCAGCTCCCATCTCCAACCCCCTACCCCATCCCTGGCACCCTCCTTTGGGCTACATCCTGTGTCCCAGACCCTGCTCCCCGCTCTCCAACCCCACACCACCTTTCTCTGTGCTGCTGTTCCCTCTGCCCTGTGTCCCACGTCCCCATTCACCATGTCTGTGCCCTGTCCCCCGTGTGCCCATGTGCCCTGTCCCCCACGTCCCCATTCACCATGTCTGTGCCCTGTGCCCCATGTCCCCATTCACCATGTCTGTGCCCTGTCCCCATCCTGTGCCCCTGCAGCCGCTCTCCATCCTACCCCCGTGCCCTACCCACGTCCCCCATCCATTTCGCTCTCCTCTGCCCGGTTCTCCCCTGCTGTCTCCATCCCCTCTGCCCGGTTCTCCCCTGCTGTCTCCATCCCCTCTGCCCGGTTCTCCCCTCGCTGTCTCCATCCCCTCTGCCCGGTTCTCCCCTCGCTGTCTCCATCCCCTCTGCCCGGTTCTCCCCTCGCTGTCTCCATCCCCTCTGCCCGGTTCTCCCCTGCTGTCTCCATCCCCGGCCGCTGCCCGCGGCCATCCTCCGCTCCCCACGCCCACCGGATCCCGTCCCCGTCACTGTGCCCACATGACTCTGCCGTCCCTATCGTCGCCTCCCGTTCCCATCCCCGCCTCCTTCCCCCGTCCCCGCCTTCCGCCCGGTCCCCGTGCCCGCTGCGTGTGTCGGTGCCGCAGCCGGCGCCGCGGTGCCCGTCGCCGTTCGCAGTCCCGCAGCCCCGGGATGTCGGTGCGGGCGGTGCGGGTGCTGCGGCTGGGCGCGGTGCCGTACGCGGAG